GGTCCTAACTTAATCCGTGAATTACTATTATCGTTAGAGTGCTGAGGTATACGTTATTTAGCACGCAACAGTGAAAGAACTTGATATCGAATATTTAGCATGGAAGCTGTTGTAATTCTGAGTAATTGGTAGCCTCCGGCTCCTTCTCGCGCCCGCCGCCGCGCCCACCACACCCTTCCCACACACCGCGCTGTTTGTTCGCACGCACCCCGTCGTTTGTTGATCGCCGTTTCACTCGCCCGCTCCCGTCATCGAATTATCAACATTGTTGCACAGGCTTATTCAGAACTCCGTAGCACTCTTTCGAGACTACCGCCCTTCCCGCGCGTGAGAGAACGCTCGTAGCTGAATGAAAAATGATGTCGTTCAGCACTATTCTACCAGAGAGTGTACCACTTAATGTGTCCGCGCGAGCGCGCGTGTGAGTTCACGAGCCAACGTGAGACACACGCCCTTGCTAGCTAGAAGCATCGGCACTCTGCGCGTCTACGTGTCTCACACAGCACACGTGACGCGACGCAGAGCGCCGAGAGGCCGGAGCTTCGCGCATCGCGACGGAAAATTGTAGGATAGAGATCGTTTCTTCCTTAGAGAAATGCTAGAATTGTATCTTTAGCGGTAATAACTCGTGTCCGGGTCGCCCATCTTCTTTGTAGTCCACCGATTCCCCTCTTCCACAGCGTTTACGTATTGGTACGTAGACATAATCTGATTATATTCGTCTCCTATTGACGATATTAATCCTTGCTTCTATCTGCGACGTACTCATTACTTCATATTATTATGTCTCAGCTACGCGTTAATTCACCTAAGACTTTATATCTCATTTAACATCACTATATTCTTTAATATTCTGTTATATTTTCTTGAACACACATACCTATTATAATATTATCTTTCAAATTATATATGGTCCAATCACGAATCTAGTAGAGCCATACAGCAACTATCCTGAGGCGTATAACTACGAACCTCATACCAATCACTCTACGGACAAAAATCTTAAATAATAATACAGTATTGAGCTACACTTATATGTCTAATTAGCAAAGAAAAAACGGTGAAACAGACCAATACTTAATTTACCAATATGGCTATACAATAACGGCAAGCACGTATCCTATCTAGCATACGGTAGTAAACATATACGATTACGGATTCACTTGAGTACTATATGAAATACCATATATTGACTAGGCCAAGACTGTACTTGCCCTGTGTGCGACGAACATAAATCACTATCGGAGTCGATACTCAGTACTGATATTATCACTCGTTCACCTCTGGAGACATAAGATCTATATAATGTAAATACCATGAGGGTAGATCTTGGAGCGCAGACGAAATTCTGAATCGGGTGTACAGATGATAGTTTTGTATTAGTCAGCGCCGGCTCTCCTTCAGCAGCCGTTAAAATCACGGCTATACAAAACTCCTGACAAGAGATCGCTCCGCACAATTATGATTCATTTTATAAAATTTCTTATAATATTACATCAACGAATCCTTACTACCGACTAATGAATCAGGCATCTATATAGTGAGTTTCTGAGCAGTGCGCCATACTTGACATATAGTTTTTAATCAAACTTCGCTGATAAAAACATATCGTGAGCCGCTAAACTGCAGTCACGTTTGTTAGGTAACTAGTCATCTTGCACTGTCGCTCCGCGGGTATTTACAGCCTGGAAAATGTCCAATAAAGCCCCGGCCGATTTTCGGTTCTATATAATCACTATGAACAAGAAATGTTACACGAGATCAATGTTAAGTTAACTGGTACAAGACATGGTTGGGTAACAGCAACTGGTGCTGTACCAACAGCAACTCTAGTAACGGTAAGTTCACATGTGACACCTCAACTGACACAACCAGGTTCAAGACTTGACAAGCGATAACCGGCGTAGCTAAATATTGGCTATATAACCGGCCAGTTGCGACTTTCGGCATTAACTCTGATTCCAACTAAGCTGACCAGACACGCTTCGACGAATAGTAGAAAGTCTCTTAAATGTGGCTCTCTATATATAGACGTGTTGTTTGCTGTGGTCGGAATGGGCTACGCGCTCTCCTCATATTTGCTACGTCACATCCTCGTCGTAATCCTCCCTTATGAGTTATCGTGGGCGCTAGCGTGCATTACGAGGAAATGATGTGATTTCTGTTAGTTTTGGTAGGATTATATTGTTATTTGTTTGTGGTGGCTAGTTGTGATGTTGAATTAACTCACTATTAATATTAGCATAGACTAGCATAGAGCGGGTAATGTAATAATACGATAATTATCTCAATAATTGCACGTACATTATTAACGTTTTTAGAATGATATCCCGCGTGTAGGTTTAATTAACCTAATAAACCTCATAAATCGTTATCTTCCAGAGTCCTGGGACTATAACGAAGAACTGAGAGAGAAGTGGAATCAAAATCGTAAAAAATAAAATAAGTAAAAATACGCGAATTATGGCGATTTGTGCTGCCGCTAGAAGGACGCGGTACCAAGAAAAAAGTAGGGCGGTAAAATTTGTGCAACGTGCACGTCCGTGCTGACGCCAGACGCTGAAGGAAAGTTCTTTTGCAATGCAGGCATGGTAAGAGTTCTTATTTTTGATTATTTTATGGACAAATACCTATATATATACACATAGTAACAATATTAAGATTTATCATATAGTTATTGAATGTTCGACACCAACCAGGACGAACAAATTACACATATATTCTCGACCGAGTAAGTAAAGTACAGTACTGAGTACAGTTACAGTACAGTGCGAGAAACACGATATATATGCAGCTAGTACTAGTATAGCTCTAGTACTAGTAGTAGTACTACTGAGCTAGCCACAATTATGAATTAAGTTACCTATACTTAATTTAGCTTTTAGCTTTACACTACTTGGAGGTCGTGACGTCTGAACGTTTAGAAATAGAAGTGCATATCTCTAGGCTAGCTGTTACTGTTTAATGTTATGTTATAGCGATCTTATAGTTATATAAGACTTATAAGCAGACTCAAAAAAATTCAGTGGAGCATATTTAACAATAACAGGGCTCAATTTTAACAGTCGTCCGGTCGTCCGTGATCGACGACTGGATTTTTTCTCGGGCAACTACAAATTCCATACTCCAAACTCTATAAAATCAATAACCTGAGCTCTAGCTATACCAGTGTTGGCGGTATACGTACAGTATTCAGGTATTTGAACATCTGTATCCCCGAAAGATCCTGTTATCCTTTTTTTAGATAGTAATTTCCAACAATGTTGGTATCCAAAAACTTTCCGAAATAAGGCAATAATCCATTATAATGACGGTGTGTGCTCTTTCTCGTTGATGCTCGGGCGGGCCACCAGCGAGCGGTTCATTTTACCATACGGCCAGGTGTTGCACAATACGCTGCCAAACGTAATGTCTAGACGCAATTGTCTGTCTTGGCTTCATACAATGAATAACATTTGTCATTTGTCCATTTTTGTAATTCGGCCAGCCAGTAATACCTATAGCTGCCATATTGGCCAGCCAGATCATCAGAGCATAGTGGCCTCGATAATGCCAGTGATGTCACGATCATCGATTATACTCGATCATCGCGGTTGAACAATGGCTCGAACCAAGCGCTTGGTTATTCAAATTTATCCATAATCGAGTTTCATCTAAAAAAAAAATAGGAAATTATGTTGATGAAGTATGATCTAGTAGCGATGTGTTAGTTTGTTGATTAGCGCGAGTCGATCAGTTATTGTAGAAGTCAGTGTGTCATATGAGTCGATAGATGCAGTGACCACACTAGGTGCTAAACAAGTCACTATACATGCACCAGCACGGTAGTGCTATGCACACGAGCGTGTTACGGCGACCGTGGAGCCGGGGTGTGGCAAGCGGCATTCAACACCTTTGCCTGGTAGCCTAAGCGCCGGATTGTAATCGTATTTCAATCGTTCGTTTAGGCGTGTGTCTCAGACCTGCTGAATGATGCCGATTACAAAAAATTACAACGGGCGCATTGACAGCACTACTCGATAATGTACATGATAAGGCTTTTGCTTACAGGCAGGCTGAAGCATCACGTGAGGCAGAGCGCATGGCAGCACATGGTTTAAATAATATCCGGACACCAAACTCTCGAGGACAACCATATGCACTCTCTGCTGTCCTCCGTGACAACTCCAAACAAATCTTCAAATTGAGCAGCTGGCAGTGCAGAATATTCAGCCATGGCAGGCATATCAGCTAGCACTGCAGGGTAGAAGTGCTGCCCTAGGCCGTAGCTGAGGGGGGCAAGGGTGCAGGGCTGCCCCTTAAGATTTTGGAGCAAACAAAAAAATAAGCTTACATTATTCTATATAGCTAAACCCTAGCGTTATGCGCTGTTGCTGTTCGTGAAAAAGTAATAAATCGATTAAAATGACCACTGCACTCCTTTTTGATATTTTGGCTTGTTGTCCAGCTGTGAAGGCAATGGTGACAAGTTTCTGAATACATGTAGAACACCTTAGTTTCAATGTTTATGTATGTTTTGTATTTAGAGAAAGAAGGAAAGGGTGTGAATTTCTCTCGCGCGCGCTCTTTCTCTCTCTCTCTCGCGCGCGCTCTTTCTCTCTCTCTCGCGCGCGCTCTTTCTCTCTCTCTCTCGCGCGCGCTCTCTCTCTCTCTCTCGCGCGCGCTCTCTCTCTCTCTCTCTATTTGTATCTTTAATGTGACGATGTACGCGTGTTTTCAGACATTAGTGTTATTGTAGATACGTGCTGTTATGCAAGAAATACCTGTAAGTAACAGCTGGGAAAACATCGAGCTTTGTACACCCCTGCATTAGTGCTAAAGCCAATTTGCTGGGTAAAATTCACAGTAAATAATGTGGCCCATAAGCACTGCAGGATGTTATTTTCAGCTCCTACTGATGATGCCCTACACAGTGATGAGGTTTGCTGGAGAATTAATTTGGATGATTTAATAACAGATACTAAATAAGTAATTAAAATGAAAATAACACACAACCATCATTTACAGTTCACCAAAAATGCAAAGCAACTTTTACTCCTCTGATGATTACACTGCAGCATTTGTTTCCAACACGTAGTGATAGTAAAATTTACACAAAAATAATTCTAAGCTATTGTAAGTATACACCACTAGTCACCAACAGCTAACACAATCAAATTCAATGCAAAACAACAAAAAATACAAACAACTCGTGTATTTCTGTATATGCATTAAAGCAGTAAAAAGCCCACAAACTAATATTTTTTTAGGTTAGAGTTATATGACATATTCATATATGAAACATTCTCGATTAAAATATGCTATAGATCAGATCCATGTAGTAGTGTGTCATATTAAAAGCAGCAGCAGTAATTTCCAAGTGCGATCTAAAATAGTTCGCGGTAACTCTATTTAGCTTATGTATGGTGGGGGGGGGGATAGTATGGCAAAATTTTCAATAGTGATTTATTAGTTAATATGATATATCTTAATGTAGTTACTAGATCATTATAAAGTACAAGTTATCAGAAGTAGATAATAGGGAATCCCCATTATCTACTCCTGAAGTTATGAAATTTTTCACAAAACTTGACAAAAACAATCAGTGACAATTACGGATAATCCATAATGACATTTATGAACTACGTATGACGTACACAACATTCCAAGAAAGTCAACATTACAGAAAAAACAGTACATGCACAAACCTGATGATGAGGAGTTTTTCGTGGATGTCCATATCATTAGAGTTCATTTTACTAAAGAAGCCTGACGCATATGCTATGCATTATATTGATTATATATACAAGTAATAACCGCATTGTGCGTCTCTCAAGTGCCTTGCTAACAGTTCTTGTCTGCAAAGTCTATTATAAAATTTTCCGTCAAGTCTGAATTTGCGAAAATATCTGTATGCGAAAAATATGGCGTATACAGTATCTGAACGCAAGGCTCGCATTTACTTTTAATAGTGCATATATATATATATATATATATATATATATACATCTATATCACTACTGGTATTTAGTTAATGGCCTGCCAGCCCTTCCGTCAAATGAACTCATCATAGCGTTGAGTAGAGTTTGATACCAGCTTGCTAATGATATAGGCAGCGATTCTCCTCTTTTGAGCAAACTTTGCACATGTGCTAACCTTATCTGCAGGTTTACGTTGCATAACTGTCAGTTATTCCAACCTATTGTTTGTAAATGTCTATAATTTATGTCCGATTCCGTCAAAATTCTGCAACTCGCACATCACCGTATGGTACAACATGATATTAAGACACTATTCACACATTGCTTTAGCATAAACTCCACACTTGCATGCCTGACCATCGCACTATTCACCTTTAATCAACAGACAGCTCAGCTATTATCACGTAGCTGCCTCATCAGATGCATTCGCTGAAGCATGTCGATTTATGAGCAGTTGTGTACGGTTAGAAGCACGCTTTGGCTGTCGATCACCACTGCTGACACGTGTGCTGGCTTTTCTCGCTACAGGAACCTCGTCCTTCATTGCTGCACTATGGTCAAGCCGATACAGACTGCAGACAAACCTACGCAGCGGTGATCTGGTGATGTGCATGATGGTATCTATGTTGACTTCAACAAGGTGGTCACTGTCTTCATCCCAGACGCCCTCTAGCGGCACACTTCTCTCCAACCGCCCGGTTTTGTTGCAGTAAAACAATACATGTCCACATGAATGGCTATGCACGCGACTTCGCTGCGCAACTGTAACGTACAACATGTCCGTTTCATTTTCATAATCAATGCCTTGTACGCACTGGTAATGGCAGTCGCTGGCACCGCTGTACCTTAATGTCTTTTGTACTCTACGTCCGGAAGATGTAGTGATGATTTCCTGCCGAGTGTTTTCTGAATGCATAAAATCAATTGTGTAACACTCCTGCACTGCTGGCGGTAGAGACTTGGAGCACAATGATAAAACTCTGACCTTTCGTCCATTGGAATGTAAAATCCTTCCCGATTCATCTGGATGGAAACGAGCTTGATCTGGGTCTATTCCGGATGAGTCTACATAGGCCAACACCCCACTGTTGGCAACTTCTGAGTCTTGCAGTGAACGGACTTGAAAGACACTCTGATTGCCATGCGGACAGACAATGTAATGCCATGGAAACCCACCCAGCTGCAGATTGTGGTCTGCACAGCGCACCTCAAACAAGACTGGTGGCATTTGGTCAAGGACAACATTAAAGGGCAGACCGTTCGGTTGGCTGCCAGGAATTCCTTCCCACTGCACGCAGGGCTGACCGAGTTTTGCCTCAAACACCTTATGTTGTGCAAGGACTCGCTCGAAACTGTATAGCCTCACAACACTTGAGTGGTGCATTGTAATAAGAATTTCCTGCATAATGTTCGCATCACATGTGTCGTTCCCAAAAATTGCCTTGTCGATTTCCAGAAAGCAGACAAATTCCAAAGGGAAAACAGTGAAAACACCCAATGCCATCAGCTTGCTCTGCGGCTCGGTGTCGTCTCGCTGCATTAAGAAGCTAGCCGATCTACGCTGTATAGATTTCACTACAATGGTCTCAAGAGCAGTGTTGTTCGACACGTGCTTGAATCGATATGTGGGAGGGAGGTAGACTTTCTGCAAGACCTCGGCTGTGTCAATGTCATAGCGGACTAGCCAGTTGTCAGCGGTTAAGGCCATGAAGCTTCCACGGTACTCTCTATTCTGTACTGGCAGGTGCTCCAAACTGCACTGACATAGAAGTGCATCGACAATTTTCTCATTATTTTTACATGGTGGCAGCGAATACAGTTTTGTTGGCAAGCCTAGGGCGCCACACGCAATGTAACATGACCTGTAGTTATCAAAATAAATATTGTTGCCATCATAACAAATGGGATGTTTGGATGACTTTTCCCAAAGCTTTTTGAAAGGTATTCGCTTATCAGTAACAAGCTCACGAATAATAGCTAGATTTCGGCGATAACTGGCTCCAAAGGAAATTTCACGAGAACGTAAACTCAGCACTATATTACTACTCATTGTCAGTTAGTCTCCCTCTTACAAATTTGAAAAATTCTTCATTTGAATCAATGTCAAAATTATGTAGCCTTCGCCATCTTCGTTTTCTTGTCCCTTTTCCTCAAGCCTTCCAGGTTCGCTTTTAATACATTCGAATATGCCTAAAATGTAAAGAAACATACAAATCATGAAAGTACTAAGAGGCTGCTAATAAGACGTCTATAAGGGAAAAGATGAAAGATTTCCATGATAACTATACTTGAGCTTTAAGCATTAGGACTCCGTGCTTATAGTTGTTACGTACAATACATGTCGTGTTAAATATCTCACCGTCTCAATTTAACTTACTCTTCTCCTCTCTTTATCTTAGACTGTTCTCTCTCTCTCTATAATTATATAAAAAAATCTTAAAACCCAGAACAATTTGAGCCTTTTAACTGCCCCCTCAATAATACTTTGTTCCTATTGCCCGAGGGTAACAGGTCATAGAAATCATTAAAGTATATAGTGGTCATAATATTTCTATGCGTAACAGCTTCATGTTCGACCATAACTTGTAAATGGATACGCACCGGCCATAGCGACAGTGATAATGTAAGATTCAAGCATTGAAAAGTAAAATATTATATTTATATGGGCTACTAGTTATTATTTATTCGGTTTTAACAAAGTTACATGCAGAATACATCTAATTAAACTAGGGCCTATAGTTGTGCCGCCCGAGATGCGCGTGCAAAGGTGTAATCAATAATCAAAGATCGCATACGCCCATTCTAGCTCGACTGGCGCGCAGTATCCTGAAATCCTACAGGTAGGTACATCGCATAAATCCAAGTAAGTAATTCAGGCAGGCGCATAATTCGCTCAGCTGTGAGCTTAAACACGCGCATTGCAGTGGCCACAAATCAATTATATTAGAAGCGCTGCCAACCATGGGCTGCCCGTGTTTTTGCCTCATGCGACCATCACTATTCATCATTCAGCCTTCAGCCCAGGGGCAGTGCGATAGACAGACTGCGTTAGAAAATAATATGCATTTAAGGAGCGTATAAACCTGTTTCAACAAGACTATTTGCCTTTGCAATTAAAAAACTGTGGCAACTGTAGCCTCACATTGACACAGTATGGGCCTAATAATAAAGCAAAAGCAGTTCCAGTCCTTTGTAACAGTCAAGAAACATAATCAATGTTTAAACCCTCCTCTTGAGGGTCAAAAGGTTATCGCACAACTTACTCTTCGCATGTCAGTGGAAAACATATTCAGTGGTCCTTTCAATAAAAAGCCATAAAAATGCTAGTACACCGCTGAAACAAAAAAATTTTCCAAATCGCTCACGTCAAGACCATGTCTACAGAAAATGCCTTTTGACCTTCGTACCTCCAATTTCAGCAGCATGATGGCTTGTTCTACCATGATGCAGACCACCGACTATCACGAGCCTAGTCGAGCCGTTTAGATTTGTGCCGCCAAATTCCTGCATTTCCTCCCTATACCTTAAGTTAAGGATTGTGCAATGTTCCCCTCTTTACACACTCTTGACCTTTGCAACCTTTGACCCCCTAGCTTCGACATCCAACTTCGCTTGACGATCCCCCCCGATGTGCGAATATCGACCGTACGCGAGCCGGTTAAGATTGTGCCCCAACTGTTCACGGACGCACGGGAACGCCCTCGCACGGACGGACGATCATGCGATTCTACAAGCTGCATCTGACTATGTCAGATGAGCTAATCATGACAGTATTCTCTTGAAGGTATATGTACACCAAAAGTATAATGATATACTTACCAACTGAAACTTGTTGACATCCTTCGCATTAATCTGCACAAAAAACACATTGTATGAGAAACGTAATAACCCATATTTACAAAGTGGTCACTATTTAACAAGTGAATTTCAAAAATCTTGGCATGGTGTATAATGTCGTCCACGATAACGAAGTTGTTTGACAATTTTTTCCCCAACGATATCATTTAGTGAAAAGAACAAGTCACAAAGCATCGGACCCCTGCCATATATTATGATGTGAGATAGCCAGTAGCACCTCTACTACATAATTAAACCAAACTGAGCAAACAATATTGCAGCCGTTTAAGCATGTAAGCTATGCAGAAAGCATGTGCATTGAGCAGGGAGAATAACTTACAACACTATCCATAAAATGAACACGACTGCATGCCTGCATAATGTATAGGTTAATTTGGTCGGCAATGGACAGATAAGATTATCTGAGACATTACTCACTACTTCAGTATGAAAATTACCACGAGTTAATGATGTTATGGTATATGAAATAGCAAATAATGCACCCACATTCGTCACTGTCGCAACAATTGCCTGGTAAATAGTACCACCAGACAAAAGTGCATCTCATTCAGTGGTGCTGGACTGGTAAGTACTACACAACTTACCATTAACTAAGTGTAAGGACAAACAATTTTAGTGGGAAAGGTCGTCACAAATCAACAAAGCAATTTCACGTATTGTACATGTTGTAAAAATAAAGATGAACAATTGTTCTACGGCATGTTTGCCTTATTGCAGATACTTGCTGTTTAATATGCAAAAAATACCAGTAAGTATTGTAATGGCAGGGAAACTATAAGAACGGTCAGGAAGAATGGTCGAAATTCTCGCTTCAAAGTTTAGGCTTCTTACGGCTAAATAGGTCACAGAAAAATTATTCATCCTATATTAGAAGATTGTTCAGATCCATGTCTTAAATCAAAGAGATTATAGATTAGAATGACACTATTTCAAAGTTGCCATATATCATACAATACTATGAATTTTATATAACAAAATAGACTCACAATAGTGCTGAGTTTACGATTTCCTAATGTTGCCCTCATTAAACACTTGTATTCATTAGGAGGTTGAAGATGCTTCTGTTTTGAAGTCGTAGGTTTTGGTTTAGTCCTTCCATCATCTAAAAGGCCAAACAAAACAAATACAAGTTAATATTTCAATATACATCAAGATTCAATTGAATCACATAAAAGAACTTGATGCCAAGCTAATTTTGTTTAAGGTCTAACATACCATTGTAGCATAGTAAAGGTTCTGATGGTTATTGCATAGTGCAAGAAAGGTTGGTAAAGGATATGGGGGTAATAAACAAATTAAAAGAGAACATTTAAAATTGATGATAGCAGCTACGATGAGACAACTAGTATTTGACATAGTGATTTAGCGATGTTCATAACACGGGATAAAGCTACAGGTTGGTAGAGGGAAAGAGTAATAAACAATTAGAGATGACAACAGTAAATAACCATCAGCATCGATAGGATAATCAGATGAACCAGGAAAAACTGGACCGGGCCAAACCCAGAGTAGACCAATGGGCCAATAAGGGAGGCAGAGCAGGGGAAGACAAGCATGCAGAGATGGGAGAAGACAGACAAAGAGACAGACAGAGGCAAAGAAAGAGTGCATACACGGTGGCGACAGCCTACAGGTTGCTGTTAATATGTGCGTGACATTTAGTATAACAAACCTATCAATCATTGCACTCTACGTCATTGGTCATTACTGACGTGCACCACACACACCATTCAAGAAACCCTACAGCATTCAGCATGCACTAAAAAGATTAGTGATGTTAGCACAGTAACCAACGTTCACAGTATTCAGTCATATACCATATTTTACAGCATATAAGACACACGGGCATAGATGGCGTACCCCCTTCTCAACAGAGGATTTAAGAAAAAAATTATGACTATTTAAACATTTGATGTTTACTGCACCTGGTAGTGAGTCCTACGAATATCAGGAAAAAAGAAGAGGTTTAAATGAAGTCATTTACAATTAAAATATCCTACATAAATACATGCAAAAGCTGATTATCTATAGCTAAACGTTTATTTATAAAAAGCAAGCTACCAGTATTTTTCTATTGAACATAAAGCAGGAGATCAGCATAGCAAAAGATAAAGAATGTTATATAAATTAATCTAGTTAAATATATAAGACAACTGTGACAAGGCATGACATGAATCGATAGTAACACGTACAAGCGTTAAGACACAGTTACTTCTTAACTTTGAAGTTGGATTTGTACTAGTTTTTCAATATTTTTCTTTTTTTTAAATAATTAACAGTAGAAATAACCATGTGATGATGATGATGATGATGATGATGATGATGATGATGATGAGACGGAGAGAAATGTGGAGAGGAGAGAGAGAGAGAGAGAGAGGTAGAGACGCGAGAAAGAGGGGGAAGGCGAGAGGGAGAGGAGAGGAGAGGGAGGACAGGAGCGAGAGCGGAGAGCGAGAGCGAGAGCGAGAGCGAAGAGCGGCGAAGAGGAAGAGGAGAGAGAGAGAGAGAAGAGAGAGAGAGATAGAGAATGAGAAGAATCGAGAGGAGGAAGAATGAGAGAGAGAAAAAAGCAAGGAGGGAGAACAGCGAGACGAGGAAACCAAGAGAAGAGCCGAGAAGAGAGAAAGATGAGAAAAGAGAGAGACGAAGAGGAGAGACGTAGAGGGAAAGAGAGAAGGATAGAGAGGATGGAAGAGGAGAGAGAGAGGAGAGAAAGGAGTGAGAGAGTGAGATGAGGAGAGAGATGAGAGAGAGAGAGAGAGAGA